ACATAAAAAGAATAACTTCTTTTCTTTTATATGTTTACCAACGTTTTGGCAACTTGTCAAACAGCCTTTTTGAGTATTCTGAGATAGTATCAGGTATCACCCCACAGCCTTTTCAAATGCACTACATTGTTTTGTTGCAAAAGGTTTTCTTCCACAAAGCCTCTCTGTGCCCATATATTTGTTTATCAAAAACGTTGTCTACCTGATGGCTCTGTTGGTTTAAATATGATCTGGGGAAACATTTCAATTTACATTCAGAAAGTATTCTGTTTGAATGCATACTGACTCAAGTTTTTGTCCCCTTAGAATATTCTAGGGTGTTACTTTTTACTCTCTGTATGTATAGCAAATAGACAAAAATGTCACAATCTGTGTTTTTTTTTCAGTGTTTTGTTTTCTTGTTTTTTGTGGTTTGTTACTTTTTAATTTGTTAAGATTTTTAGTTTATGTTTTTCTTGCCTTTTTAAATATTTGGTGTGTGTTTCTTGCCCTCATCAGCCTCCTTCCTTCACTCTGTTAGTTTCCATTCAGCTTTTACTCAAAACCAGGTGGTCATTTTTTAAGATACACAATGACTGATGAAAAAAACAAGATAAAATGATAAAAAAAATTTAAGCTTTAATACAACAGCCTAAGGTCAGCATGTTGAAACTTTACTGCAGGGCTATTCAACTTGCGGCCCGCGGGCCACATCCGGCCCCCGAATGACCAAAGTTCGGCCCGCCAATTGGTTCATTCATCTCTTAAACTCAAACCCCCGGTTTTCTACTTTAATTACTCTAAGTTCTTTTAGTTGAACATAGACATGTTTGGTATCAACAGAAACATCAGAATCCTTGCTAGAAGTAGGTAAAAACCATTTCTATGAACACTCAAGACATTTAAAACTACAAGCAGTTGAAGATAAAATGATGAAAGTGAAAATAAAATTGGTTTAAAATTTTGTCAGAGATGTCAAAATATTATTTGTGTCTAATAGGAGGCGTAATGTGTTCTTTTTCTTTTTATTTTGTGTAATTATTACTACTTTTATAGGGTTCTGTATGTTGTATTCATGATTAAATGCAGCAAAATAAACTAATTCAAAGGTAACAGATCTTTGTAATACTTGGTTTATTTACACAATAACTTTAATTGCTGGATATTTGGCCCCTCAGCTGTTGACCAGCAGTAACTGTGGCCCCCGGAGCAGTTTAGTTGAATAGCCCTGCTTTACGGCATACCGAGAAATAGATCAGTGACCATTTTAAGTTTTATTAATCGTCTTTTCTGTTTCAAAGCTGTGATCCTATTTACACAAAAGGGTAAATAATTTGGAATAATGATTACTACCTTAAAACCATATGTATTCTAAAGATTTCACCATTTCTGTAGTTATTATGGAGTAGGCTACTTCCACCCCCTGTAGTTCAGTAAGGGAAATGCAGTCACTGCCAGCAATAAGGCATGTACAATAGTTTCTTCTTAAGGCAGTTGCTAAATTAAGATTTTTTTCTGCTTAATCTCATTGTTCTTCCTCGATTTGCTTTAATAACGTGGCTTTTTGACTTGACTTAAAATCGATTTAGACTATTTAATGTTTAAAGTTTATTTTAGACTCAATGGGTCTGAACCAGTTTCTTAGTATTACAAAAATAAACTCGATCTGAGCCACCATCGTGTGACACAGGAGTCGTTGCATCAGATGCAGCAGAACATAGGAGGAACGCAAACAACGTGCTGTCGTCTCACAAACCGGACGCCCCCATTCATCAGCCAATCACAGCAGCCCTCTGCTCCTCGGTGAGCGCTGATTGGCTGAGAGGGACGAGCTCTCCCCATCATTTCCCCTTTTCACCAAATATCGGTAATGCGGACTCAACCTGAGCACACAGGTCCGGCTAATTTGGACCGGAGGGGRGCGAGCGAGACCATGGAGCCGACGAACGAACGAGACGAGCACCGCGGCGTGTTTGCCGGCTTCCGCTCGGCTTTCAAATCCTTCGCCACGGATGCTATACACGTCGGCCAGGAGCCGGAGCAGTGGTCGTCCATGGCCGTGGTTCCGCCGATATCCCTGTCCACCACCTTCAAGCAGCACTCACCGGGAAACCACGCCGTAAGTAGCCCGGTTATTTAGAGCTGAGGAGGGAGGGAGGACCGGACGGAAACACATCTTAATAAATCAGCTCTAAAATAACTAAAATATGTTATAATTTATGAAAAAAGAAGAAAAACTCACATTCAGCATTACTGTAGTAAACCCTACATTTTAACAACGGAGGTCAAGCTAATAAAGAAATTGATGTGTTAGCTAGATATAGCATTAGTTTATTTTAATTTTTACTTATTTTACTGTAAAAAGGGCGTTATAGACCAGTGGTTCCCAAACTTTGTATCTTCTGACCCACAAAATATTCATGGCAAAAACTTGTGACCTCAAATATTACTGGTCTGAGTACACAAACTTTGTTAATAACCCTAAAAACACAGGCCTTTTGACCATCTAAACAGCTTGTACACAAATATAAATACTTATTTATAGTTATTTTGTGTTTTTGTAATAATTATAGGGAAAATATTATAT